TGTATTTAACAGTACTACAATATTCTGTCTTGTTGCAGGAAGAGATGCGCAGCTGTGGTATCAGCTTCCAGCAGTACACAGGCGACGACTGCTGGGTCAACCTGAGCTACACCGTAGTGGCCTTCACCAAGCAGATGATGAGCTTCTTAGAGGAAGGCTTGAAGCTCTACTTCCCCGAGCTGCACATGGTTCTGCTGGAAAGCCTGCGGGAAATCATCCTGGTGGCCGTGCAACACGTTGATTACAGCCTGCGCTGCGAGCAGGATTCAGAGAAGAAGTCCTTCATCCTGCAGAACGCTACCTTCCTGCACGACACCGTTCTGCCGGTGGTGGAGCGGCGATTCGAGGAGAGCGTGGGCAAGCCCGCCAAACAGCTGCAGGACCTGAGGAAGAGCACCAGGTCGGTGCGGATCAACCCTGAAAGCACCACATCCTTGGTTTGAGACCGACAGGAACTTCTGAGGCCTTGTTTGACGAAAATGGATGAGACTGGAACAAAGACGGTGGCCGAGAACGCCCACACACCCTTTTCCTCCCTGCAATTTCAAGCTGAATTTCAGAGCTGACCAAAACACTAAGTGCTGCTGGTTGTTTTGATTATGCAGAACCAGAAAAAAATAAAACTATAATTTCAAACAGCTGCAGTAACATTGGATAAACGTTAAAAAATCTTTTTCCACATAAAGGATTCTTTAGATCTGCCATAAATGTTCCCTCCATCAAGAATGGAGGCAGCATAGACCCAGACATTTAATATTTATTTATCTATCCCTCCAATACATGTAAGAATTTTTCTTTTTTGCCAAATCAATAACTCCAGATGTTATTTTCCAGATAACCATTTTTTCCCACCATTGAGGTCCATATATATTATTGCTGCTAGATTATCTGAGATGAGTTGGTTTATAAGGCAATGATATTGTAATGACCACCCTTGTACGTATGGTGATTTAATAAGGTGAGTTGTGTGACCTTAACACATAAAATGAAATAAAAATCATTACAAGCACAAAACATTCTGATTGTTATTTATTAGAGAATAGAGAAAAGGAAACTGAAGTTTTTGTTTCTTGTTCAGTTCTGTGGTTTACAGTCGATCCAGTGCAGTTTACACTTCTTCCTGTTTATAGTTTGATTGTCTTTTACTATTTAAAAAGATAATTTATGTCAATTAAAAGTAGCTATAATGAACTGATTATCCAAAAACTGTACTTGAATAAAAAGTAGGCAACGATGAAATTAGTGAAGAGTGAAAAGTATTTGGTAAGAGTACTAAAGTACTGACCTGCTTACTACTCGGCATAACATTTGATTTGATTTGTCAAAAAATATGCAAATTTACACAACATATATACAAATTATGGTGTTTGAAAAAATGAGATTAAATATATAATTACACATTTATTTCAAGCGGAAGAAGCAATTTTGACAAATTAGGTTGAAGAAAATACTTTTGTGATAAAGAAAATCAGTACTTACAGTATGTTGTAAATATAAGTTAGAATAGGGGAAGTCACTTCCAACAACAACATACAGTATATTTTATTACTGTTCTGTGAAGACAACCATCAGACAGAATCCGCAGACGGGAAATAATAATAAACCCATGAAGCCTTAGCTAAAAAAAAGTCTCAGTTTCACATAAACTATTTTTCTCTGTTACATTTGTGTTAAAAACAAGATTTTTCTTCATTGAGTACAGTACAGTAACTCATCATTTGTGGAGAGGCCCGACATTTCAGGCCGGTCCCAGCTTCCATGGGGCCCTGAACAAAATTAGACTTTGGGGCGACTCATATAACACATTGCAAATGCCAAAAAATAAAAAAAGCACACCTGGTTTGTGTCACTCATGTTCATAGATTTTCCTCTGATGTGCCTCCACATTAGCTGGGCTTCACTGCTCCATGAAACTGAGCTTCTTTAAAGCTGCAGAGCTTTGAAGGAAGATGATATTGCTGCCTTATCTTTAAAGTCCAAGAATAAGGAGTCAGCTGCATCAACAAATGCTTCTTTTATAATAATAATAATAATAATAATTCATTTAATTTATAATGCACTTTTCACCAAAAAGGCCTCAAAGTGCTACAAAAAAGCATTTAAAAAAGCATTAAAAAGGAAATACATAGAGATAAAAGAAATAAAATAAAATAATAAAAGCTGTTTTAAAAGAGAAAAAAGAAACATCTAAGGGAGACCAAAAGTTTTGCTAAAAATAAATGTTTTAAGGTCTTTTTTAAAACACTCAGTGGTCTGAGGTGCCCTCAAGGTGTGAAGGAGGGAATTCCACAAAATGCTCTATCTCCCATTGTCCTGAGTCTGGTTCTGGGAATATGCAGCAGGTTTGAGTGAGTGGAGGGAAGGGAGCGGGACGTTTTCTGTGGCTTGATAAGTTCTTTGAGGTAGGGGGGGGGCATGTCCATGGATGCATTGATGTGTGAGGAGGGAGACCTTGTATTCTATCCTGGTGGGGATGGGAAGCCAGTGTAGTGAATGGAGAACGGGGGTAATGTGCTCATGTTTCCGCACTCTCATCAGGATCCTAGCTGCAGAGTTTTGAACGTACTGAAGCCTCTGCAGACTCTTTTTAGGGAGAAGAGAAGTGCGTTGCAATAGTCCAGTCTGGAGGAGACAAATAGATCTTAAATCTAAATAAATCTTTTACTTTCTCTCCATCTTGGAAGGACCTTTTTATTGTTTTTGTTATTAATGATGACTCAACTGAAATAATCCTTCAATGCTTTTGCTTTCGAAGTTTGCTGTGTGAAAAATTATTGCTGACCAGACAGCTGGGATTTTAGTTACAGCGGGGGAAATAATTATTTGACCCCTTGCTGATTTTGCAGGTTTTCCCACTTCCAAAGAATGCAATGATCTATAATTTTAATCATATGTAAATTCTAACAGTGAAAGACAGATTCCCAAAGAAAATTCCAGAAAATCACATCATATGAATTTATTAAAATTGATAACCATCTGATGAGGAAAAACAAGTATTTCAGTGGAACGTTTGTGTCGTACTTTAGATGAATAGTAGGATAGATGATAGGCTGATATCTACTTTTTTATGCAACGGAATTTACCAATGCTAGCTTTGCGATGGAAATGTAGATTGCTATCGATGTATTAGACAGTCCTGGTTTAGGAGAAATCTATAATAGTTGTTCCTCATCTGTGTGTCAATCTGGCCCCAAGTTAAATATTTTTTTTTTTCTCAAACTGTATGTAATGATTCTACATTAAATACATATTGATAAAAAAAAAACCTGCACAATTCTATCCTGAAATTGTGTGAATTTGTAACTATACTCATGTAGAAATTATTCTAAATGAATAAATAAATAATTGGATATTTATTTGGGCCTCTTGTTGTCCTGAGGCCCTGAGCAGTCACTAAGTTTGCTTATGCTTTGTGTCAGGCCTGGCTAAATTAAAATAAAAACTCAAACTACTTCTCAAATCATTTTTTGTACAATAAGTTACCTATGTAAATGTAGCTGAGTAAATACTTTTAAATCTTTAACTTTTTGACTAAAATGTCCCCAGGAGGCTTTCATAGGAAGTTTACCAGGTACACAGCTGGTAAACTTCCCAGGGGGGGTACTTAGGGTTTCCTGCCTGAGTCTGAATAAGCTTCATATCTGACAAAAGATGTTAGTCTTTGCTAAATCTGATAGTACAATGGACAATTCATTCAAATTAGACAAATAAGTTTGCTTATGATACGCTTATTCCAAAATAAACTGGGAACTGATTTACTATTTTATGCAGACCAGTGATTTTTAAACGTGTCAGCTTCTGACCCAAACAAATAAAAGAGGAAGAGGCCCACCTGCTACTGGAGGAGCATGAAAACATGACCTTTGGGTCAATCAAACAGGTTCCAGACAAGCAAGACCGAATACCAATAAATTCACTTAATTTCTTTGTAACTACTGTGTGAGAGCATAAATGTCTTTAACAACTTTCCTTTTTAATATATGCTTTGTCTCTGAAGCAGACTTTGTTGGTGTTTGTGACTGAGATGAGCAAGGAATTTAAAAACAAATGATCTATTAAATTATTCAATGTTAGCGGCAACCATGTGTTCTCAGAATGGCAACTCAAATCCTATTATCCATGCATTACCTGACACGCAATTAACCTAAACGTCATGTTTTTGGACTGTGAGAGGAAGCAAGAGTACCTGGAGAGAACCCACGCATGCTCAGGGAGAACATGCAAACTCCATGCAGAAAGACCCCAGGCCAGGAATCGAACCCAGAACCTTCTTGCTGCAAGGCAGCAGTGCTAGCTGCTTCTCAACTGGAGCTATAATATTAAAATCATCTTAAAAACAGCTTCAGGGACAGACCTATAATTTGCAAAAATAATGGTGGGAATGTTTTAGTTTTTTCTTTTTTTAAAGTAAAACATAAGAGTCCATTTAAATAGGAAATATTTTCAGAATCATATAATGGAGATTTGTCGCCCTCTTGTGGCAGTTTTCTATCATGGAATCGACGGTTATTTGGGTTTTAAAAATATAGCTTTTATATTTACAGAGAAAATAAATCTGTTTAAGTTGTACAAGTATCTCAGATTTTGGCAGCCAGTTGGCTTAAACAGAGCAGATGACATAATTAAACTAGTTTACATGGGGAAATAAAACCCAATTAAAGCATAAAATAATATTTACAGCAGTCATTAAATCAGCATGCAGGAATGTTAGATGTTTAAAGTTTCCAGTCCGCAGAGCAGGCGCATCAGGATGGTGGGAGTACTTGACAGGAATTTATTTACCCTTTATCATAAATTTTTGTACAATACTAAACATTTTTCAGGCGCTAAATATTTTGAGGTTTGGATTTTGTCAGAATATGTGAGGAGTGTCAAACTTAATTAGAAAACTATATATATAAAAACTAAGAGAGCTCAGACTTTTTCCAAGCAGCACATTTTGCAAGATTGTGACTTACACCTAAAACTAACACATGATCTGGATCATTACCAATTTTAAATGAATTGTTCCTTGGCATGAGGTTAACCATTCATAAGATTTCAACTGATCCTGCTGACAAGGCAAAAACTTTCCCTTTTCTTGTGTTTTTGTCTTTAGTAAAATACCAAAGCAATTTTAGAGTCTGACGTTAAGGCTGTCAATAGTCACAGCTGCCAGCCTCTGGTTTAGTAAGGAACTGCTTGATCCGCCAAAAAATAATAATAATAACTGAAGTTTATTGATCTCACATTGGAGAAATTTACCTCTGTATTTAACCCATCCCTTTGGGGAGCAGTGGGCTGCCATTGTGTGGCGCCCGGGCAGCAAACACTCCTATCTCACAATCTTTAAAAGAAAATCTCTGCATCTAGATAACGATCTGGATCATCAACAAAACTGAATGGATTGTTCTTTGGCACCTTTGATATAAATATTATTAAAATCCGTCCATCATTTTTCAGGTTATCCTGTACAAAGACAGACACACTGATAGTTAGATAGACTAGTTGTTGCTATGTGGTCAGTTTGTTCAGTGGGAACGAGTTCTCATATGTGGAATGATCTCGGCACTGATTCCCGGCTGATCACTCAGTCCATACACCTGCTCTGCTCCCGCCTGCAATCAGCTCTGACCGGCGTCACCTGTTTTCATCACAATATAATCCCCATCAGACCAGACCTCAGTGCTACATTATCTCGTGCAGACCCTGTAAGAATAGTCCAGCATCTCTTAGAAGTACTTAGAACTTTGCTGTCTGCCCGTTACTGACCCATTCTATCTCCTGATACCGAGCCTGCCTGCCTGGATATCCTCTCTGTTCTGCCTCTGGACCCTGACTCTGGATCAGTCTGGCAGGACTGCCTACTCCTCTCTCTCTGGAACACAAACTTGGAGAAGACCCTTCATAAACTGTCTGACTTCCTCTCCTGGATCACGAATTGGTAAAACTTCACACAATCTGCACGCCTCTCTGCTCCGCTCAGATTCAGTCCCGCTCTCCAAACAAGCTGTTGAATAAACTG